ACCTCCGCACGCAAACACCTGCAGCATACCTTAAATGGGTAGCTTATCCTTACCTTTGGGATATCACGTAGACTGGGATCTGAGCTGTTAGCATCGTGGCAGGTAGACTAAGGTAGGCCAGCTTTTGCGCGAAGGAAACTCCCTCACACGCCACAATGAGAACGGCCTAGACTTGTTACGACGCTGCCCTGTGGTGCGGCCTTATGGGAATTAGCCGGCTGGCGTATATACTGTAAAATGACAGCAGCATCTCGCGACATTGAGCAGGCCTCATGGCGACAGGGAATGGGAAATCCAAAAGCTTCGGGCTGAAAGGCCGAGAGGCGAGCAGTTCCGCAACGGGAAAGTAAACCAATGGAGGGCACCAATTGAGCAAGTTTATTTTCACTCAGGCAAGGTACCTGGGTCTAGCGAGAATCTGGCTGGTCTTTGAGTGAGATTTCCAAACAGCCAAAATGGCGGCCTAGATGTTTCCTTCGTGGAAACGGCTGTCTGGCTGACTTGAAGTTGGGCGAGAGGCTCAAGATGGGAATGGTCCCCTTGTTTGGCCAGCGAATCAGAGCTGGTTGATGGCGGGGGCGGGGGAACGGCGGGCGCTAGCGCGGATGCAAGTATCTTGCTCAAACTCACGCACTCACGCACTCTCCCCCGGTTGTAGCTCCCGAATTGGCGTTCCTCGCTCCTGGGGAGATGGCATGTACTGATTGGTCCAAATACATAAAGACCGGCGGTGGTTGTGGCGGTTGGAATGAAATGGGTTGTTTGTTGTCGAGACAATCCGCTGTGTAAGGGCATTTTGTCAGCTGTTCTGGAGAAGACTTCGTGGCTTGAGTTCACTGTCACGTGGATGTAAGTTGCCAAGGTCTCTCCAGACTTAGCAGATCCTGATGCCTCTGTTCCGTTAACGATAGCATTCAAAGAGTGATTGGGGTCATTTCAAAAGCCGCTGGCAGGTTAGTTCGGATAAATTCTATAAATGTTGCCTATTGAAGAACATCCAAATTAGAAATAGAGTTTAGTCACAAAGAGTATTCACCACAGAATCACATCACGCTTGCGAAAAAAACCAATCGCGATCCTAGATGAGCATAGTCCATATAATCAAATCTAGAGTTTCACAACAACAATTTGCCTGGAGTCCCATGCCTCATATGCAAGCCAGTACACGTTCACTCACGTCTCACCTTCGGACACCCAGAAACGCCGACTTGAGACATGGCTACCTCTGCTTTACAATATGAATTCATATGGCATTTACCAGAAGATGTATGTGCACTGGTTAGAAGTATAGACAACATGAGACCAAGCTTACTACAACTTGGGAAGCTGGTTGAGAGACCACAGACCAGTCTCATCCGTGTACTGCTCCCCACCAACAAACCCTCCAGAAACAGGTCCTCTCCCAGCCTGCCAGAAAGGAATCGTGACAAAGATATCCTTACTCGTAATATTCGCCACAAAAACCCCAGCATCACCCAAATCCCACCGCATAATCATTCCAGCAGGCGCCGGTGTGCCAGGCACAAGCGGCCAAATCTGCCCCTCACCCCATCCCAGCGTATTGTTCACGCGGTCGACGCATCTTGAAGCAATCACGTGTCCATCCTCGTAGGTCGCGAGGTACTCGGAGCTGATCTCGGTGCCGTCCTGCGCGTGAGAGTGCCACCAGACGACGGCGTAGGGTCCAAGACGGGCATGGCCCCAGAAGGCAGCCTGGATTGCTTCCTGGAAGGGGCGGTCGACCCAGGCCTTGTCGTGGTAGCCGTAGCCGGAGAAGGACATTGCCGTGTCGCCGAGCGTGAGGTCGACTGTTGCTTCGGCGTCGGGAAGGGCGTTGGCCCAGGCTACGCCTTCGACGTTTTTCTCGATTACGCCTGCTGCGTCGGTGCCGCAAGTGTAGTGGGGGGCGACGGTCTGAAATTGTCAGTTGTCAGTCTCAGCCATGTACTTGGATGAGTAGACGTGTACTCACATTGCCTCGCAAGATGAGACTTCCGTAGATGCCAGTCTCGGGCGAGTTGATGGTGACGTTGTACACCGGCCTCGGCTGCAGCAAGCTCGAGCCCGACCAGCTGACCTCGCTGCCGCCGAAAAAGTCGACTCGCATGCTCTTGTCCGCCCTCTCGGTGATGTTGGCGTACTCGGAGTTGACTCCGTAGCTGAAGGCCGTGCCGTTCGCAAAGGATCCGAACAGGGATACGTGGTATTGCGTGGTGCCTACATCTGCGCCGTTGTCGGTCGGTCTCTGGATCTCAAAGTTGAAGACGACGGTCTCGTTGGTCGAAGGGTTCATCGCGTCAAAGTACCATCTGTGGATACTTGTGTAAGTCACATGCATGATGTATGGCAGCAGGGGGGTAGGGAGGCAAGCTGCACGTAGGGTCTGATGACGTACGAGTCAAAGGTAGTTGCGTTCGGGCCCGGGTCGATCTTGAAGAAGTCTGCTTCACCGAGAGCTTCTGTGGTGAACTGAACCTTGGTCGTGCCATTATAGAAGTCCTTGCCGAGCTGGATGACCCGATCTCCAGTGTTCGTCTCAGCAGAGCAGGTTGATGCCGAAATGGCTGCTGCAGCCAGCAGACAAGCTTTTGTATGCTTCATGCTGTGGTGTAACTGACAATGAAGCGTGTGAAGAGAGGGGCTCTTGAGACAATCGAGTGTTTCGTAGATTGACTTGAATGTTTCGAGGATTGCTGTATGTTGCCTTATATAGAGCAAAATAGACTGCCATCATTCAGAACTTTGCTGCGCCGAGAAAAGGGGAAACTCGGCTCAGGACTCTCTCGCGATTGCCCACATAACCAACTTAGCCGCAACCCTTCAGTAGAGGTAATTGAAGCTGACCAAGCCCCCTTACATCGCATCGCACAAAGAATCAACCGAACGCTCCGGTGCGGAAGCCGCATTGAAAAACTCTCATGTGCTAACGGTTTCCACGTCTTCACGGATACAAGATATTGCAGTGTCGAAGGGTTTGTGGATTACGGCATCAACTTCGGTCTCGGTTCATCCCGTAATTCGACTCGCAGCTCGGTCTCGCTTTTGACGGTGGTGTTCGCTTTAGGGAGTCTGTAGTTCGTCATTTCCCGTTCGTCATGCCCTTGTTACCAAAGGAGCCCGAAGGACCCCGAGCACCGCAAGTTCCTATCTCCGGATGGAACCTCATTACGTGAGAGGTCGGCGATGCGTCCGTCGGCCTCGGTCGAGCAGCAGCCTCCGGATTCGGGGCCAGACTTGTTTCCCCAGCCGCCCGGGCACCGCTCCGAAATTTGTCCACTTCTCGGTGTAGACGTCATCATTGACTTTTGTCACCCCAACAGCCAAAATCGGAGGCAAGGACGCTGAGCTTTGACGAAACAAGGTTTGGCGCATCTCCGCTGCCGAGTCTATCTCGACTTCACTCGTAAACACCCCACCACTCCTTCAGTCTGCGCTCACGGAACTCGCGCGACTTGCGTGAGAAGATGCGATTTTCGCGATCAATCGAGCGCGGCGCAGAGAACAAGGCGCGCGAGGTCGCTCGAAAACTCACAAGCTGAGTAAGCTCAATCAGCGTCGATGGTTTAGTGGTAAAATTCTCCGTTGCCATCCAGCAGCGTCGGGGAGCCGGGGGTTCGATTCCCCCTCGACGCAGTACTTTTGACCCGTGGCACAAATAAAATCCGTCTTCGATGAGGCGGTACCTGCCGTCGCTTTTGCTTCTGGTAGACTCAGTGGCGCTTCGCACATCCTGTCTGTTCACTCGATGCTCAATCGGCGCCTCCGTATAATCCATTCTGATGGAAATCTGTTCATGGGACACATCAACGTCAGATTTAGTGTCGCATCGGACCGAATGGAATTGAAATAATTGTCGTATTTCCCCGGACTGGGATGATTGGCTTCTTGGACAGGACCAGCCTTGGCGGCCAAAAGTAGGACTATAAGACCTGGGGAGACGTCGGGAGCGTCTACAGAAAGCGTTGAAATACGGCCTAGCGCAACATCGTATCAGATCGTTGCGCTGCGCCGCGGTGACATTCGCGAAGGTGTACGAGCTATGATGTCGTTGACGTGGATGGATAGCATCGTGAGATGGGCGTTTGTTTTTTGTGGCTGCGACGATGCGAACGATGCGACCTCTGGTTCCGAACCACGGCAGTCAAAGCAAAGATATCTTGCCCGGTTGACTCAACGTAAGGCGACCAATAATGGATCAACAATTGAGACCAGATGAAGGGTCACCAAAGATGTTGCATCATATGTGCCCTGATTTTCAGTGTTGAGAAATGGGCAACGGCGCGATTGGCATGAAATGGACGGGGAAAGTTGCGGCGGCCTCAAGTCACTCGGTATCTTTTTCACGCGCCATGTGGGGCTCTGCTCCAACCGAGCGAGCCAATGGGTCCACCCAGAGAAATCCGCCCACCGTTCAGCCCCGTCGCACCCGCATGGGTACATTGATGCTGACCATTACGATGATGAACCAAAGTTCCTTTCACTTAGCAACATCGTATATCTGCTTGATAGAAGTGTTGATAGTTGAAGATGCGATATAAAATAGTTGAGAATGGTCTCAATTTTTAAGCATAATTCCAGCTCACATGTGAAGCATATCGCGTAATATTCCATGCTGCAGTTCTAACATTTAATCGGCGCCGTATGTCTCGCAGATTGACTATCCCTGCTTGCGATCAGCGCACGGGCCACTGAGGCCAAATTCGCTGCGCCTTGGGACGCCGGCACAGGCAACCACTCAGAAGAAGCGGGCCTGAGTCACTGAGGGCTTCAAATCCCCAGGCATCCCTCGCGCATTTCGACTGTTGGACCTCTCTTTCTTCCTCACCCGCTCCGAATACCTTCAACCTCTACCTACCTCTTCTTACCTTACCCTTACCAACTTACCATTGATTGCATCTAGCTCAGTCGATTGATACAAGCTTTCAAGCTTACCCCGCGCCACTGATTAACAAAAGCGAGATGCTCTAGTTGAATCAACGATCCACCCCGCAGCAGCCAATATGGCTTCTTACGCAGATCCACCGGTCCAAGACCGCTGGGACTCGCACGACTTCGATGGCGATCCTGATCGCTATCAGTGCCTTTACAACATGTCAGACGAATTTGACTTGGATGCTTGGGCGACTCCTGATCCTCGGGTTACGACTTTGGTCGACATGGGAGACACCTTTGCTTCGGAGATGGGAATGCCTAACTCTACCCCAGTCGAATTCGAGAAAACGGACTCCCCTATTGATGGAGGCAGCTCCGACGATGGAGGATATCCACCACCACCACTGTTGACGTTCACAAGACGCCGACGCCCACCTGTGCAGTTGTTACTTCGCAAGGTTAGTTAACGACTGAATACAAGACTCTTCTCTCATGACGAGAGGCTAACACACAAACCTAGTCCCCCCATGCATCTATTGCTTGTGGTGAATGTCGCGAAGACATGATTGCTTCTTGTTCCCTCTCTTCCAGGGAGGAATTGGCGAGCGTCCGGCTTTCGGAGCTTGCAACTATGGAGGACATTTGCGTCCTAGATTTCCTTGCTCCAGTTCATGAGTGTCAAGATGATGCACTGATTGCATCTCTGGACACTACCAAGTCATTGGATCGCGTCTTCGTTCGGAGACTAGACGATAGAATGATGCGGTTGTTGTCTGTTGCTGTCTAATGTTGGGAGGATGATGTTGGTTATTCGCACCGGTAAGCTCGCCAACGGCGCGTCTACGCTTTCTCTCGCGACCTGCCTCTAACGCTTCCCCCCAGGTTGGCCAAGGACCTGAGTACGTCGTAAAACTTCTCGATCGGCCATCTGAACTTGATAGCGCCCGTCCACAAGAATTCACACAAACGCAACCATTCGTAAATCAGCTAGCTCAGCAAATCGCCGAGTCAACCACCCTTTACCAACACGACCCTTACTACCAGCAACTTTCAACTCCTGAAACGGAGTTTTACGACCTGTCTGCTGCAACGATCCCCGTTGGCAGACTTTCAAGCGAGAACACTACACACCACCCCGGGTTCCCCCCCTCAGTCGCAGTTATGGCGGTCACTACCACAGGCTGGCCCTACGGGGCCCAGCCGGTACGTGCTGCACCCGATGCCATGAACGACAGCATGTATCAAAACTCGCCTTTCTCCGAGCTCTATGAGACTCCGGACGAGGGCGACGATTGGGCTATGCTCATGCAGCAGGACATGCTCGCTACTGGCGATTACGACATGACCACCTTCGACCTTTCCGCCATTGAACCAACTTACCAAACCACCGACTCTCCCCAGGACATCTTCAACGACCCCGCCGTCCAGTTCGATGTCGCGCAGAGCCTAGGCCCCGACTTCTTTGACTTCAACGGCCCTCTGCCCGACCTCTCCACCTCAGGCTACCTCTCTGGCGACCAGGTCTCCTCTTATATGGGTAGCACGAACACCTCACCCTTCGAGCCTATCCTCGACTTTTTCCCCGACACCGACCCATGTTCCATGTTCCCGGCAAGCACCGACGGCTCGCCCCTCGACACAACTACCTCCTCCCCCGGATCAGACAACGCAGGCGCCCCTTCCAGCTCCTCTCACCCATACAGCTGCACCACCGACGGCTGCACAAAGACCTTTGCCAAGGAGGCTCAGCTGAAGCAGCACCAGCGCGTCCACCGCAAGGCCCTCGTCTGCACCATCTGCCGCGCCGAGCACCGCCACGAGCACAAGTTCGCTCAAGTGCGGGACCTAGAGCGGCACATGCAGGCGCGCCACAAGGACGTCGCGGAAAAGAACAACGTGCGCTCCGAGATCCGCCAGTGCCCGCACCAGGGGTGCGAACACCAGGGGAGGCGGGACAATGTGTCGAGGCACCACAAGAGTAAGCACGGTAAGGAACTCAAGTGGAAGAGGGGCGTCCCTCACGTGGTGGGTTGAGTTTCTCTTCTCAACCGGGTTTGATGTTCTCAACCTCCAAAAATATGATACGAGCGTTGTGAGTTCTTGGCGTTTATCTACTACCTTTTGCATTTTATTTCCTATCTGTTCGGTTTGGGATCTCGGTAGTCTCAGCTAGCATTGCATTTAGACAATAACAAATCCTTAAAACATAACTTACTGGTGCCACTGCAAACGTGATCAAGAAGACTGGGGCCCGTCTGGGAATATTGGATTTCTTGGCAGTAGTCACCAAGAGCGGCCGCGCGTGCACTGGTTGCTTAAAGACCGGTGCCGAACATCCCCATAATAACCGTCGGCAATGGCTCCACAAATCCCGACCGTCCCGACCGGTCACCCTGAGACGTGTCCGGCGGTTGAACCAACGCCAAGGTAGTCCGCGCCACTGCCACTTGCTTTGGTGTTGGACTGCTGGAAGACTCTGAATTAGTGCTGGATGCTCACAACATATTGTCTTTTTGCAGTATCAGTGAGAAACTTTCCACTGCTTCTGATGGCCCATCGTCCTTGTAACATCATCACAATATTCCCCAACGCGAAATTGTAGATGGTGTTAACTAGTACTTATAGCACTCGTAGCGTGTATGCCTTGCACGACCCTGTTTTACCTCGCTTCAAACCCAACCCTTCGACGCCTTTCTTATTTTCGGGATACTAGGCTTCATATGTGGTCACCAACACCTTTCATAGACTCATTCATCCATTTCAGGCCACAATTGCAACCTACCCGCAGGAGGCCTCAGACACGAACTAGCTGTGCCTCACAAGGGAGGCTGGTCTCTTGCGACCTGACCGTTCCAACACGAGATACGTATCAACCAACAAGAGTTTTTTCGACCAAGTGCCGGACCAACCGGAGCTGGGTTCCATCCTATCAATGACTCTGTAGATTGACGTGATGGATGCAGTGATCCTTGCCAGCTGAGTCCACGGTTGGATTGGCCCTCTGCAAGTTACGCGCCGAGGGAAGGTTTGGTGTGGCTCAACTTAACATGACTTTTTTGATTTCATCGATTGTGTTTTTTTCAACACTTTTGACCGTTCAAAGATTGCGCTGAGCGAACTTTGATGTGGCTCAACTTTAGGGAGAATTTTGGTTTTCGTGGATCTCGTTTTCCCATCACTTTTGATTACTCTAACTATGGTGCCAAATTTACTCTCTTCGTTCTATGTGTCTCGCTTTACTCCTCTCATTGATTCTGCCTATTTCATTTCTTTTTACGCGCTGAGCAAACTTCTCACTCCTCTGAGTTGGACATGCCTATGATTTAGTGATTTTATCGCTTGCGTATCTCCAACGCTTTTGACCTTTCTCGCCCTACCCCAATTTCGTTCTTTTCGTTCCGTTCCTCTCTTTCTACTTCCCTCAATGATGACACCTTTTTCACACCTTTTCTCTATGTCCGTCACCCGATTTCAACCTCTGCGCACACTTCATTCTGCTCACTTTATTTCCGCCAATTCACTTGCTCGACTGTTGGCGACATTTCAGGAATTTCACCTATTTCGCATATTTCACTCGTTTCACTCTGTCCTGATTGTTTTACTCCGTTCAACTATTAGCCAATTTCACTCCATTCACACTTTCACACATGATACCTACCTCGCACGTTTCACTCTTTCCAACTCTTGTGCTCATTTCAGCCGTTGTGCCTATCCCACCCTCTTTACTCCTTTCCCGCAATTGTACTCTTTTCAACCATCGTGGCCGTTTATCTTATTTCATTCATTTCACTCGAGTCTTTTCGAACACTACGCCATTTTCGACCTTTCCGTTCTGTCTGGCCTTCCCATCACTTTTGGCTCTACAGCTACTTTTACTTTTTCTGATCACCACTTTCAACTGTCCCAGTCTCTGCAACTTTCCTACTTGTTTACACATATTTCGCACATGTCAGAAGAGCCACCGCCACATGCTCTTTCCCTAGAGCTCAAATTCGAGCAGCACACATTTCATCCTTCTTACCTCTTGTGTCATTTTCCACTATTGCATTTTTCCATCGTCTTTCTAAGTTTTACACCCATGTATACCAAGTTCAACCTATTTCACTACACTTTCCCCAATTGAAAAACATGTCATACGTTCCGCCAATCTCAACCATCTCAACCTTTCACAATCTTCAGCCCATCTGTCTTCTTCAAAATCTCAATCTTTTCTACTGACTTATTTCCTTTAACCCTACCATTGCCAGTGCTTCAGCTCTGCCACCCCTGTCACCCTTCTGCCTAGTCGCTGAAGCAGAGTGGTCAGGCAGAATCAAGGAGCGAGCAAGCCTCGAGTCACAAGTCCCACACCCATGTCGCCTTGAGAAGTATATAACGGGGGGCAGTCCCCCCCTTCGTTCCGTCGAGAGAGAAAGCAGCGCTGCAGCTGCCGGAACATGTGGTCTTACTGAATCGACCCATGCTCTCAGCTCATGTTCGGTATCTTATGTTAAAACGACTTTTCTACTTGAGCTTTTTGCTTGCCATTACCAAGTGAGGCAGTCACTTGGTAACCATGTCGTCGTCATCCATCAATCCTACATCCATTCCATCCATCTCTGCTCTGCGGCAGCAGCTCGGATATGGCGACTCTAACTCGGCGAATCATCAGTCAAAATTATTCTATGATAGCGTCCGGGCTTTCCGCAAGACCTTTGTAACCAGACAAGGCTATGAGGGCAGTGTGATGTACGAATGGAAGTCTTCAGAGCATCAAAGTGCTCTTGAAGAGATGGTCCAAGCATTCCTCGACGATGACGGCAACGGAGCTCGACTTTGGCCGGATGAACATGCCCAAGGCAGTGTTAAGAAGCTCAAGTATTCCCGTCATGGCACGAAGTAAGTAACAACGACAATCCTGTATCTTTAAGAAAGGCATTTGGGCTGATAAGTTCATGGTCTTATAGAATTAAGCGAATCCTGAAGCAACTGTTTTGGAGAATGAATCTGCAGCAGCACCGCAATGGCAAATACAGAAAGAACAAAGTGAAGACGGGCAACGTCAACATACGCACACTTGATAGGAGAGGTAGTCACGAGGACCCCATCGATGTAGACGAGATTGAGGAGTCACTCGAGAGCTCTAGTGCGGTTGAAATACTTACCACCTCAAAGTGAGTGACCGGCACCCTGCACGTACTGAGAAACTTCTCCTTACACTCGACGCCGTAGCTCGACCAAGACTGATCAGGCGGCGGCTGCGCCTTCGAAGATTCTCGACCCGTACGAAATCGATTCTACCTCGGAAGAGGTTCAAGGACTATTTCAATCGCAAAGAGACGTTGGCGCAGACCTCTGGCGCGAACCCAAAGGTCATGACCAAGAAGTCGGAAATACTTTCGTAAGACAAATCGTCATGCAAGATTATCACGTTGTGTGATTCTAATATAAAGTACTCAATAGAATGATCCCTTCACGTCGCCGACTGGCCCCATGGAAGATCGCCAATTCGCGCCATATGCTGAAATGAATCCTTCCGAGCCTCCTCCCAACCGTCCCAGAGTTAACACTATGCAGTCTCTCCATCAGACTTCGAAGGGGAAGCGAGACGACGATCCGGTCGACCCCCAAGCAAGTCGGACTTCGCCGCGCAAGCGCCATGCGCCTCAACGCGATGGGCTCGTAACAGGCGAACGACTAACTGAAGCCTGGCAGGCTATGGATAAGGACTCTCCCCCAGAGATGGTTGCCCACGCCATGTCATCTGCAGCCCACCCAGAAGTTCCCGGCAGCTCTTTCACTGGTGTCCGAGAGGAATCGGGTCTCCACACCCATGAGAACAGTGCGGAGAATGTTACAGACAGAGAAACTTCTGTTGATGCCTTCGCTGATGAAATGGTCACTCGACTGACCGCCGAAACTGAGACGCAATCACTTCAGCAAGATGAGGTCGTCACCAGCACCGAAGCCTCTGAGCCTGCTGACACTCCACGTCAAGCGAGCCCTGCTGTGGAACACAAAAAGACAGTCTCTTTCTTAGCGAACATGAGACGCTCACAGACAATGGCTGCAGAGCCAATCGAAAGCAACGACTCACCTCAGACCGCACCGACGCGCCAAGCGCGAGTCAAGTTTGTGTACCGCATAATCACCCGTTACCCGACTCGCCGGAGCTGTATCTGGAAGCCCAGAGGAAGCTTCCGGACCAAAACGCTGGCCGAACTAGAAGATGAGCTTCCCTTGCGGTTTGAGCGATCCGAGCTCAAGTACCTCCTTGTTCGGCTGGAGGCCCGAGATACTCATGCGGATCAGATAATTCCCTGTGGAAGAGAAGAAGAGTTCGATGCTCTGAAACGACATCTTGCAGACTTCATTCGACATCGCATTGCAGAATCGCTCCCTGGAGAGGAGGTCTCTGTGTTTATCGACATTGAGCCATTGCCTACTCTGGATTCGACGGAGAAACCCTTGGAAGTAGAGTCGATTACGTTTGATTGGTGACGAATCTCGATTTGAGCTAGCGTTTGTTGCGTTGCGGTCTCATGTTTTCCTGGAGTACTAACTTGCGACGAATAATGAAGTTCTTAGGACAGGATAGCCTTGGTTATGATTGCACCAAGTAAGGATATATGGAATGCCCAAATTGCAGATTGTGGAAATACCGTCTATTGGATGACCCAGTAGCGAAATAAAAAAAGACTCAAGAACCTCTCTGCAACAATCCATGTCCAAACTTGGCGCATCTATGTGGTTTTAACACACGATTGATGCATCTAGATGAGGAAAACGTTGGCTTCCGAACATCGTCAAATTAAGGTACCGCCGGCACGGAAGCCTCCATTACCGTTGTGCTCAAGAGGCCATCAACTACCACGAACACACATGTTCCAAGTTAGGTACAATGGCGCTGCGGTTAGGGGCCATCGTACCTATCGTTGGGCAGTAACATGAGGCTTGTCAGGTTGTCCACGCATCAGACAACGACATCATGTCAACCCGCAGACTCCATGTCAAAACATTGACGTCGTGACTAAATCCCCTGCATGGTTTCTTCCAGGGGCTACAGGGCCTAGGTCAGGCTGAATGAGCATTCCCAGGCTCTATTTTTAGCGCCCGCTGTGGGCGCATCCCCCAGCGACCTACAGCTGAGTCAACCCACGAAGTAGCTCATCCCTTGTAATTTCCAGGACACGATCGACCTTCTCCGCGCTGTAAAACGCCTCATTGTAGCACACACTAAAGGTGAGCTTCTCCCGGAAAGTCCACAGATACATCTGGAAATCGCCAGTCATCATCGTGGAGCTCACCCAGAAGTTGGAGATCTCCCAAGCTCCGTACTGGCGTTGGAGATAATCGTCAACAACACCCATGCTGGACAGCGACGGCGTGCTGCTGGGCGGCACGCCGCCGCTCTCCAGAATCTGCCGAGACATGGCCATGTAAGGCGTCAGGTACCCGAAATCATTGTCGGCGAAAGCGAAAGGCGCCTTGTACTGCTGGTGAAGAGACTTGCTGAGAGCATCAAAAGTGCTGTCCTTGCTGAGGTCCGCTGAGAGAGGCAAGGCGGTTTGGAGCGACCCAATCGAGTGCTTGTGTGGGACGAAAGAGGAGGGAAAATGACGACGCAGGTCAATGGTGGTGAACTGAACGTAGGATGAACCGTCTTCACCAGCTTCCGACTGAAGTTTCTGCAAGCATGGATGTTTAGGATAGAGCGATTATCAAAGAGTACCAAGTAGCAAACATGAACTTACCTGCGTCGTCAAAGCAAGCGCAGCGTGCCAAGCTGAAGTGACACTGACCCCCTTTTCCTTGCACGCACTGATGATTGTGGAGGTCGTCTGCTCGTCTACCTCGAGATCTCTGTGGACTGGTCTTTGAGGGGTAGTTGCAAAGTCAACCCAAGGTAGTCGAATAGGATTCTCTTGCTGCAAAACCCGCTGGAAGATAGACTGAGCGTCGGCAAAGTTCTTTTCTGAGGGCGAAGCCGATACTCCCAACCAGTCATCGTACGGCTTAGAAAGATTTGGCGCCCCGGACGTCTCGTTTTGCGTCTGAGAGTTGTCGTCTGGCGAAGCTGCCAGTGTTATGAAGAGGGCGTGATACAGATACAACATTCCTCGCCCGTCAATGAGAGTGTGAGGTGACTGGAGTAGAAGCTGGTTGGTGTCCCGAATGTAATGGAGCGTGATGTGAAACTGGCTCTTGAACGCAGAGAAGAGTTCATCGGCGGTCGTTCCGTCGTGAACTCGGAATCTCTTCTGCAGCCATTCGTCTGTGATGGCACCTTCGCGGACCACAATCTCCCGCGAAGCTGGATCCACAACAGCGCCAACGCAAGGGAAGTCCTTCGACACGATCTTCCAAGCTCTGCGGATGGAGTTTTCCTTATCAATGCTCTCGTCTTGGTTCTGAAGTGTCACGCTGCAGCCGATCATCCAGTGGACCGGGTAGCCTTCGGGAGACGCCAAGCTCTGGTAGAAAGACTCCATAGAGCCCAATTGACGACGCCAGGTGCCATCCTTGTTGCTCCACGGAAAGTTCACACCAGAAGCTGGCGCGGGATGCGCGAGCTTCTCCGATGCGCCGTTTGTGGAAGCCGGCCCAGTGGCCTCGGCTGTTCCTGTTGCCATCCTCGCGGATGATATGAATTTGAGTTGTTTGGAAGTATGAAGTGAAGATAGTGAAGAGAAGAAAACTTGAGATTTCCCCGGGGCCCTGGCTACTAGATGACGATGCTCCTCCCGTCCAACATAGGGACTCCAGGGGACAGGCATGTGAACATAGTGCAGTCGATTATATGACACGACCTAGCCTAACTTAAACAGCTCTAGAGGTGCCATAAGCCAACGGTCAGCAGTTCCCATTTGGCGTTGTCATAGTAATGGTGGAGAATGCACCGAATGTACATGACCGAACAAGAAAGCCACCGAATAGGGCTGAAGGAATTGAACCGAAGCTGACAGGTCTTGGCACCCCATCTGGACAAGGCCTATAAACAACCGAAAACTAAGGTACTTTGACGACTAGGAAGGATGAGTTTCGATGTATGTCGCGAAGAGCGACAGATTGAATTTGTGAAATTTCTCTCGTACCTTCAATAGAGGCGCTCCTGGGAATCGTTTCACATAATGTGGTGAGGAGAGCCTCAAGGTAAATCTGCTCCTATGAAAAAGCTCCCTTCCTTTAGGAATTAAATCACTCCAGTAAGGCAGATGTCAGGTCTTCCGTAGCTTAGTGCTAGTGGGAAAACAGCGAAGAGCTCACAAACAGTGATCTGTAGTCAGAGTTTGATTCGCAAAAGAAGCTCTAGATTATCATTCAAATCTATGTAGACAGTGGGCTGATTTACTTTGGTTGTTATGTGTTTACTACATGTATCTTGCGTACAACTATCAGAGATATTGCTCTTAAGCACTTCCCACCTTTACTACAAGCTTCTGCCCCCTAACCTGGCCTGACTTCAACATCTCAAGACCTTGAATCACTCCTTGCCATCCACCGGGCACTTCACGTGCCGGATGGCATTTCAGACGTCCCTCATCCACCAAATTTTGAACCTCAAGCGCCCATCTTGCTCCAAGGTCAAATTTGGACTGGTCCGCGTCGCGATGGTACACTCCATCAAGCTTTACCTCACGACCCATAACCACATATGTCATAGGCATGTCCATCTTGACTGCTTTTCTCGTTCTCCACTCATCGGGAGCATGCTCGAGGGATGCATATCTCGCTCCAGCGCGACCCAGAGCTGTGAAGCAACATTTCACCGATTCTGGTGTGGTGATGCAGTCGATCGCAGCTCGGATGGAGCCCTTTGTCGCATCGCGAATTGTCTCTCCGCATGTCGGCGAAGAGTACGGTGTCGTGGAAGCCGCCCCATACTTCTTCACAAGAGCCGCGGAAGCTGGGGAGCAGGTTGCAATGGGGTCATAGCCAGCACTGCAGTGAAACGTTAGTATACTTGCTCGAATTGTTGCCCACAAGGATGGTAATCGCACGTACCTCGATAGCAGTTGGCAAGCCATAGTGCCGGTAGCTGTAGCACCACCATAAACCAGCACAGGCACGCGAGTCCCGTCAGAACGCAATGGAGCAGGTTTTGATGGAGTGCCTGTCAACAGAAGGGAGTCCTCCATAGCTAGTGCTACGGTCGCCCATCCGACTCCTCCAAGAGCTGCTCCTTCGAGATCACTCCACGAATCTGGCACCCTTACAAGAAGACGTCTATCTTGGATGAGGTATTCAGCAAACGCTCCAGAGTCCGGGTTCCCAGGATTTGAGCCGTGCATGGGACCACAGACTCGCATCCCGACACATGTGCTGCCGACTTCAGGGCCAGCTGCGACGATGGTGCCCATGAAGTCGCAGCCCATGATGGCATTTGGCACGGGATGATAGTCTGGCATCTTGTAGTCAGTCGGGTTCAGCGCAACGGCAGAAACCTTGACGATGACATCGTGGGGCTCTCTGATTTGCGGCATGGGCTGGTCTCGCGAGACCAGCGGCGGGCCTCCACCATTGGGAGATTGAACAAGAGCTGTGATTGTTGTTCCTTTGGCCATTTTCGTGACTTTGCTGTTGAAGTTTACCACCTACTGACATCGAAAACCACTATATACAAGCTGCCCTCTTTTATTGCGATAATTCTGCACGTGTACCATGGTATCTCGAACTCAGCCCTTCTATGCAGGGTCCTTGACAGGCTTCCAGATATCTCCAAAGCTGATGCATTGGTTTTCCGAAGGATTGGGTCTGCATATCGTCCCCTGTTCGGATATAAGTAGGTAAGCCTCCGAATAACCCTCCGACTCCGGGCTCCGAACCGAAGTGGGCCCGGCGGATAGGGACGGTCCCCAGCGCTTACAAGTTCCCGAAGCCTGGTCCGAGTCCGCCTGCAGAACGATCCAAGGAGGATGTCAAATCCCACTCCTCCTGTGGCACTAGACTCGGCCCTTTCCATCCGGTAAGCGGGCTGAAGTTTCTGGAACCCTACGGCGGGAAGCTCGTGAGAGTGAGGAGCCCTGTATGAAGTGGCATGAAGGATTCTCAGACCATCCCGTTCTGGGCTCTCATGATATCGGTCTCGTCCAGGCTTCTAAGTCATCCCATTTGTGATGTTGCTAACTCGCTGCGCATTGCCCCCCACATCCCACATCCCACAAACCCAAAACTTGACTGGACTGCCTTGAGTACTGGTCCAGATGATATATCTCATCCATGGGGCAGAATCTGAAGAAGCACTGTCTATATTGCCATTTTCCAATACTTTGTCATTGCTACGACAGAGGAGAGTCAGGAACTCCAAGCAATCATGGCCTCTTCGATTCCCTCGGCGGGGTTGCCCGCGACTTTGGCCAGCAACTTGACTGATTTCGCCGGCAATGTCGTCAGCGTCATCAGTCCGTACATTCCAGATGCCATCAAATCCAACCTCAACTCGCTTGCATCGTCCAAGTTGACACAGGAAATGACGAAGAGCTGGAACTGGGCCGCGTACTCTTCTCTTCTCGTTGCAAGCATCTACGTCTTCGACTGGGGAGCGAAGTCGCGTCGCGACAAGAGGCTTCGCGATTTCGGCTCCCCGCCTCCTCTGGTTCCCTTCAAGGCCCCATTTGGTATGTACTCACACCTGCGGAGATGTCGCCCAATGCTTACAGCTTGACATATAGGAATTGACTTGGCTGTGTACTCTTTATACAGATTCTTCAAGTTCACCTTCTTCGAGCTTGTCAACAGCTGGCTTGAGGCCGTGCCTGGCCGTACCGTCGAGATGCGCATGTTCGGAACAGGCCTTATCTTCACTGATGAGCCTGCCAATATCAAGGCGATCATGTCCACAGAGGTGCGCTTAGCGTGATGTCCGAGCCGGAAGCTCATTGTGGGTTTTCTGATTCATGAGCAATAACTAACACTGTGGAATAGTGGTCCAGCTTCGGAAGAGGCGAAGTCACTAAGCGTATCTGGGGAGACATGCTGGGAGAAACGCAGATCTTCGTTGGTAAGTTTTGTAAAAGCTCATCACAACTTTTGAAGTTGACGTACTGATTTGGACTAGTGGACGGAGAAGACTGGCACAACAGCAAAGAGCGCATCAAGGGGCATGTGAGTGCAACACCTCAGTCACGTTTTGCCACATCGCGATTCTGTTGCTAACGATATGGAATCGTCAGGTTATGAAGATGCGCTCGGACGATCTTGAGATCACCGAGAAGCATGCTCAGCAACTCTTCAAGCGTTTCGACGTGGGCAAGCCCATCGAGGTCTACGATGTCGCCGACCGTTACCAGCTCGATGTAGTCTCTGAGGTATTCTTCGGCGAGTCTGCCGACTCTCTCACTGGGCACCACCCTTTCAGAGATCCCATGGAAACCCTGCATCCCATCAATACGGCGCGCATGTTGTTCGGAAAGAATGCCTACTACATCAAGGACAAGTACCTGGCACCCAAGGCTTTGAAGGAATTGAACGGCTACACCTCGGGCATCGTCGATCGCGCGTATGCGAGAGACTTGTCGAAGAAGTCGCCGGAAGATTACAATATGTTGGACGATCTTGTGAGCCAGAAGAAGAGTGTTAAGGTAAGCAAGCATCGTTGAGGGGCAAAAGAAGTTATTCTCACAGAGGTTGCAGGATATCAAAGACTCCATGATGACCATCATGCTTGGCGGAAAGGTATATCAATTCATTCGGACATGCTGAAGCCCCTAAATCCTGACTGATTATTCCAGGATCCCTCAGCCATTCTAATCGCCTGGGCTATCTTCCTGATGGGCAAGTACCCAAACGTCATGAAGAAGATGCAAGCCGAGGTTGCGCGAGTGTAAGTACTCTGCCCCGGATCAACTGCGAGAGAAACTAATTCCTCTTATCAGATCTGGCGACAAGCCACCTTCTGCATCTGATCTCAAAGAGATGACCTATATCCGACATGTCATCAATGAGACTTTCAGATTATATCACCCTCGTAAGTAATCCTTGAATAGGCCTTCGAGGTTTCGGCGACTAACTATTGCCAGTTGGCATGAACGTTCGTATGGCCCTGAAGGACGCAACATTGCCGATCGGTGGAGGGAAGAGTGGTAGAGACCCAGTTGCAGTTCCCAAGGATACAACTATCAGTAAGTGGCACTGCCAAAGTAACTATCTGGAGATGTATCAGCTCACACAAGTGCAATCAAAGTCTACTCTCTCGGTGGTCTTCAACGCCGTAAAGACATTTATGGCGAAGATGCGCTCGAGTTCCGACCTGAGCGTTGGGAGGGAGCTAACATTAATCGCTGGCACTTTATCCCGTACAACCAGTAAGTCTTCAAAACCCTTCCAAATATGGCTTCAGGAAACAGATAAGCTAACCTGGAGGTTGAAAAGTGGTCCTCGTCACTGCTTGGGTCAAAAGTTTGGCCAGCAGCAGATGGAGTACATCCTGGCGAGAATTTGCCAAGAGTACCAAGAGATTAGGATTCCCGCCGGGCAGCCCGAGCAGCAGATCCGCATTGAGTTGAACTTGAAGATGGCACACCCTTGTATGTGTGAGTTTATCAAGAAGGCCAAAGGTAACTAAGGTAGCGTACGCAGCTAGATGTGGGCCTTACGTGTGCCTTTTCGCCTGAGGACCAGAACAAATCGAGTCTAGTTGCCTATCATGAGTGCGTGAAAGTGTACGATGATACCCGAATTGAAGTTTGCAGTCTATTTCAGCTGTGCAACCATCACTATACCCCACTAGTGTCACGAATTTGCCTTTCCTGAATGTTCACACGACTTACTGTGGGGCAACACTAAAAGGGGCAGATGGCAGGCTGTTCATAACTAAATTTGATTCTTTTGCCGACAGTCATGTTCTCATTCATGATACCAAAAATCCACCTAAGATTGATGGAATAGCCACATGTGGCTAACGAAAGGTCCTGTAGCTTTGAGTTCTTATCGTCTCAATTTCGACTTCTTATTAGGCGTTAGAAATGTAGTCTTCATTGAACGCATGGGGCTATCTGGAGCCTGCATAAGGAGTGGTCCGGCTACCCAGAAGCGAGAGGCACGCGACTCCGGCTCTCGCCCATCTTCACAGTCCATTTCCCAGCCCAATCTCCCCTAACTTGTACACGCATTGCAACATCCTTCGTAGGAGGCGATAGAGTCGCAAGATCCGCATGATTCAGAGCTGGATTCTTGTCCCAAAATCCACTCGCAGGTGATATGTCGGCTCTCATGGCAAGGAGCGCGGCTATGATGAGGATCTCGGTGGCAGCAAATTGTCTTGCCGGGCACAGATAAGGCGCAGCACCCCACGGAACAAAGCCGCTGGCAGTGGATACATCTCGCTCGCCTCCCTTCTTGGGCATGAACCGATAAGGGTCGAATTGCAAAGCTGTCGGGCCCCAAATGCCGGTTTCACTGTGAATGACGTTACCGGGCACCTGGAGGTAATTGCCCTCTTTCAATAGGTACTTATCGTCCAGAAGCGTGTCTGTCAAGACTTTGCGGAAACTCGGATTGACGTGGCGAGTTCTCTGAGTTTCCTGGAACACAGAAAGGAGGAGCGGACACTGAGACTTGAGTGCGGCGACGTCAAGTACGAACTCTCCGTCTTCCAACTTGACAACTGCGTGTTTTGTGAGTTCTTCCCTGACTTCTTCGAGAATTTCTTGGCGTGAGAAGAGTTCCCACAAAGTCCAATACAGAGTCGGTGCTGAGTTACTGAAGGAGGCAATAGTGAAGATGGCGGCTTGCTTAGCCTTGTCCGTATTAGATACCCCGGCCTCTCCCAGAACACGCTGATGCTCTTTCATAAGATGGGAGCTCTCCTGGGGGAGACTTTTGCAGTACCTGATGTATGACTGAAACACCTTCTCTCTTGCAGCGTAACCCTTCTTTGTTACATCGAGCCAGCCGACCAAGTGAGCAGTGAGATATGTCATCCATCTCCTTCAACCTCTAATTAGCATGGAAACTGTAGTTCAGAGAAGGTTGGGCGTACCAGTAAGAACTCTCGATTTCCTGATCGAGAAAAGGGTGCTTCTTTCCATAGACAGCACAACTTGTTGCTTGCACGACCGCATGTCTAGCCCAAGATAACAACGGCACTTCTGACTTAGCCAAGAGCAACTCATCGATGTCTATCAAGACTCTCTTGCCCATTCGGAGGCTCAATTCGTCAAGATGACGGCCTGGAGCCAAGCTCATCTTCACTGACTGGCTCAAATCATCGGGTAGACTGCCTCCGAAAATCTCGTAGGTCGCAGGAGAAGCATCGCCATACTTTCGTGCAACGAGCTGGAGGAAAGGTCGGAAGGACAGAGCTCTTGATTGCTTCTGGATGAACGGCAGAAGCCGGCTGGAAGCGCTGATGTATACCTTGAAGTTGAAACATCCCAGGGTATAGATCTCAGCTTCGGTAGAATTACTGCCGGATGTTTAGTTATCAGATGCCCTTGATACTTTTATTGCAACTCAAAGTGAATCAACGCACCTTGTCTTTTTGTAATAGGTTGGTCCTTGACTCATCAGTCCCAGGACATGTCCGATAAGGGGGAATCTCGAACGTATCCGGACCGGCTCATTTGGATCATCTCCAGTACTGTAAAAGAAATCCGCGGCATAAGCCAATAGGGTCAAGCCAGTGAAGGCATACAAAATTTCGCGAAGCATTTTGCTAGTATCAACGGCAACGACTCTTCTCTAGGCACAGGAGGCTCGCAGCTTTGTGCCGCTGGAAAGTCTTTAGGCCCGACAGTAGTCGGATCTAACCGTGACGAGTGCATTGGATATGTGGATGCATACGTAGCATTTTGAAGATTCCTTGGTTTCCAGATTGAATCGAAGAACGAGCCCTATCCCAAGTGTGGACCGAAGGATGCCAAGCCCCACGTTCCTCCGGGGTTCAGAATCCTTCACCGGTGGGACATCGTCTGATTCAAACAAGCCTTCTCGGTGCCTTTTTGCAAAGTGGCCGAACGACTGCTTATCCGTATAACCGTTTCAGGTCAAGATTTCGCTGACTGTGTCCGGGGTATTGCTGACTGCATCGAATGCATCGAATGGGTTCCATTTTGGGGCCGAGGGCTTACTATGAATCTATGATGCACGAGTGAGTTAGTCTGGTAGACTCAACTGTGGCTCTGTGGATGCACGGCATCATAACCGGTATACGCGGCCCGTACCACTCCCCGCATACCAATCCTCAACGGGCCTGTCCGAGACGCTAACCATTTTTTCACTTTGCCATACGAAAAAGACAAGGAATGGACAGATCTGGCCATGGGCACCGGGCGCTGGACCTTACCAGGCAAAGGACTGCTTTGGTGGGGGGAGACTTCCGCAATGAACTCCTTCGCCGGCTGGATGGTACTAGCGCCAAGACTAAGCAACCAAGCCTCGAGAAAAACCCACCTCGGATGCAACCCGTTGCCAAGGACTGCCCTCACTGCATATTCAAAGCAGTTGCCTGGAGCTCTGGTCGGTCAGATTGGAAGGAGAGGGGGTTTTCACGGATAATAAGCCGTTATTGTCTTGGTGTAATTGGACATGCTACGCGAGTGGCGGGAAACCTAGCAACACTAGTCAGTTGTCGATGGAACCCCACGAATAACACATTCCTACAACCAGGTTTCGTGTGGATAAGGAACCTGTAAGATGCCCCTACTGCTTCCCTCTCTAGCGATATGTCTTGGCTAGTTTTCGGAAGTGTCAAATTTGAGACAATTACAGAGTTTCGACTTGCATGAGCGAGGGCCCTAGACGCCCAGGTAGTCTACCGAGAAAGCGTGAAAGTGGGCTGAAAAACGAAGAACGTACGTTTAGTCGGATTGGGAAAGCGTAGGATTCAGTACCTGCGCACTAGAATGTCACATTTGTTCGTCTGATAGTTGTTCAAAAACATAACTGAAAGATTCCTTGGGCCTCCGAAGGTCTTGGCTCCCGCTCCGAATGACTTCAAACATAATACACCGAAACAGACTTACACGCGGAGCGACAACCCCCTGATCATATCGCACGGACGATTAATCGGAACAGCCTCCCGGTATTATGAACAACCAGACGGCAAAGAGATACGCTTGCGACCGATGCCGGGAGCAGAAGCTCAAATGTCCCCGAAGCCAACCGGATGGTGGCACCTGCGAGCGCTGTCTCCGTCTAGGTGCGATGTGTGTCACGAGCATCGGTCGGCCATTGGGACGGCCTCCAATACATGCGAACCACCGTGGCCAGGTCGAGGATGGTCGATCGCTGTACAGTGCCCGGAATGGTCGTTCCTCGACGCATCGTGGTGTGCGTGTCACAATGGGTACGGATCCTGCGACGACAACACAGAGCCAACCGCCAGATCCTGGCCCATCACAGTTCTTCACCAGTAATAGGGTGCTGGATCACATTAATACTACCTCGACCATGTGGTTAGATGCATCAACCTTCCCGGCTGCGATGTCAACGTCTGGCGAACCCACCATACCCTCGCCAAGAGCACATTCACACGTCTTCTCCGACTTGAGCGTTCCCGATCTCGACTTTGGAGATCTAAACGATATGGCCGAACACTTGAACAGGGATCTACACGAGCCAATGACGGATGTTGAAGACAAGCTCTCTGGTCAAAGCGGGATCCCCACGCCTAGCACCTCGAACGCTGGTGACACCGGCGTCCATGTGATAGGGCTCCTCGGCAGCATTTCCCATCAATTGGCGGAACTCAAGGATCAGCCATGGGAATCTTGGAACCCACATCTCACAAAAGATGCCTTTCAGCATGGGAAAGATGCGGACTCACCAGGGGGCCGAGACCTCAACATTTGGAATCGCGTCCTAAATGTAACCATGCGGTTCGCGACTGTTCTAGAGTCAGTGACCCCTGTACCACCACCGGCACTCTCTTTGACATTGATGCTTCTGTCGACATATGTCCAGCTCGGTGAGCTGTTTGAGATCGTGTTCAACCGCATGAGCAGGTGCCTGCGCGAAGGGTCTGGGTCGGGAACATCGGCCTCGGGTCCGGCTCAGCTATTAGCGCAGCCCACGAGCATACAGCTTATGATGATGACTCAAGTCTTTGAGTACCAGATGCATACGGTGGAGCGACTGATGGGCCTTCCAGCAGAATTCCGAATCTGGGACCAACGAGATGGCGTGAATGAGGGTGAGGCTAGGATTCTTGGTCGCTTGGAGACTTCTGAAATTGTTCGGGGCGTGATGAGACAAACGAGGGAAACTTTTCAGACTATTAGACAGGCAAGCAATCAGATTAGAGGCTCTAACACATAGACGATAAGAGAAATGACATGGAATCAGAATATGCGGCTTCGAATTTATAGTTGCTTTTGTTATTTTTTATGATCACGGATCCTCTAATTGAAGGCATCGCACACTTATAATATGGGCGGGAGCATGGGTCCCTCTACACACACGTTTCACTGGAGAAGGAAGACTTCCGAATGCCAATAGGAGCAGCAGCTTTGATCGCAAGATATAACCGCCTTCGACCTCTTGGGTTATCATCTTGTAGTTTCACAGGGGAAATTGAGACAAATTCCTTCATTCTAAATATCTAGATATCATGCAGCTGTGGGCTTTAGGCTGAAGCTGAACTAGTATTACTAAGACTAATACGTGCATGGGGTCTCAGTAAAATTTGGCAGTGTCTCTAATTACACCTTTCTTTCGAATGGAGTGATGCGAACGTGGACCTTTGGCTTTTGCCACACTATGTAAAGTCGCAAATCCCGATCCCAGTCCATCTCATTCTTGTTCAAGAGTTCCCATTGGAATTTCCAGCAAAGCTTTGCAAACATGATGCGAAGAACCAAATAAGCCATAGCCTGGCCAAGACAGTTGCGAGATCCTGCACTGAAGGGCCTGAAAGCAGCTCGGTCGTCACCATCAAAGATATGGTCATACTCTGCGTGGTCTTTAGGAAGCCATCTCTGAGGCTTGAACACATACGGCTTGCTGAAGTATTCCTCTGAATGAGTTGTAGCATATGCGCAGGAGGAAACGACGACCTGGCTCTGATATTAGTTTTGATCTTTTAAAATAAAAAGAAAAGAAAGCAAAGATGCTAATGAGAAGTCACTAGCTCGAGAATAGACTGGATAACTTACGCCTTTCGCCACGTAATTCCCATCAACGGTATGACCAGGACTGATTCTTGGAAGTCCGTAGGGAACATTGGTGTGAAGTCGAATGACTTCCTCAATAGTCGCATTCAGCCAAGGCAGATCCTGAAGCCTATCCTCTGTGATATCTTCATAGGACTTGAAAGTCGTCCTCAATTCATTTTGTAGCTTTTTCATGACCTCATCGTTCGTTGTCAAGAAACATATACCAGCTGTCAAAACACTCGAAGATTCGTAATGATCGAGAATCAGATGGCCGGCTTGAGACACCAGGAAACCGTCTGGTGGGAGCGCCTCTTCATTCTTCAGGAACTGTGTCATGTAGTCCAGGTCCTTGCGGTCGTGACGCTCCTCAACACGGGTTCGAATGAGCTTCTTACTCGTTGAGTGAGCTCTGAAGTAGCTAAACGCAACTTTTGGCGGCAGAAAGACGTATGAGAGTGGGTAAAGCAGAGGAAAGCGACGCATCACGTTGCGGAATGTGGCCCAGTGACCGATGCGCAGCAGTGACTCTAAGATAGGGTGGTTTTGGCCTATTCGGTAGCCATGTTAGCCGGGATTCCAGAACAATTGACTCGCAACTCTTTGCGAACACAGAAGTTGGGGCATCACTTACCAGATTGAATGTTTTTGAAATTGTGGCCGAGCGTGATCGAGCCACCAAGATCACATGTGGCTCTCTCAAACCATGGAGCAATATCAACACCCGCTTCAGTCGCAGATGAGTTCTTGAGCACTTCGACAAACTCATCCACGTCGGCATGAATGATGGGTTCATACTGCTTCAAAGACCGGGGACTGAATGCAGGAGCCAACTGCTTGCGGGCAGCTCGGTGCTTGTCGATGTCTCTCTCAGAAGCCAAGCCCTCGTACTTGTCCCCGGTGTCGAGCATATCCGATTTGACGAAGCCAGGCCGTCCATTGATGCTGCTGGTGTAGATATCTTGCCAACTTTGCATTAGAAATCTTACCGTCAAGATGAATTCCCGGGAGACATACCCGTGTAAGCTTTGGGAGTTATGAAGACCAACTCATTGGGTGCAATTCTAACAACATCGCCTGCCCATGTCAGAAAGTCGTGTGGCCAACAGTAGGCGATTCTGGCTCACCATATTCTTTGAAGGCTCGTTGCATCGCCCAGGGATAGCGACCAGACAGCCTGAGGGCGGCAAGATCACATCAGTCTTAGACCTTTCCGGGCATGCATTCCCTCTGTCAAAGTTTGTCAACCTACCATTGATACCCATACCAGACATTGGAAACTGCAGCAATCTTGGGTCCAGGATAATTCGCCAGAGGATGAAACCAAACCAAGTAGATGGTTCGAATCACACTGTAGGCGATGATCTAGAAGGTGGTTAGAACTCTGTAGTATGTGCGATTTGCATTGAGGTCTAGAGGGTCACTAACACAGCCGAAGGCAATCGTGGCGTTATCGCGAGTTGCCCAACCCGTACCGGGAAGCTCGAGATTTGGCATGGCGGCGACAACGAGCTGGACTGATGCGCCAAATCGATTTTGCAGCCTAGCCCCAACCGATTTCAGATTTGACAGAATGCGGCGACTACATGTAAGACTTCATGTCTCCATCACGGGTTAGGAAGAAACAAAACCCTAGGCCAGATATCCGCGCGTTCAATAGACCCAGAGGGCTAGAGCGTGCAAGCATAATGAATGAGATGGCCATGAATCTGCCGCAGCCGCCACATCTACAGGCAAAGTCACCGACTCGGCGATCGGCTTCTTTCGCAGAAACCCCGGCCTTCTCACTACCCGAAGGCGAAGTCCACAGGTCCCTGGCCGAAGGAATCCTGCTGAAGAATGGTTCTGGCCAATCGGTTTGCCCCCACATTGTACTCGTAAGATCCTAATCAGGCCGTTCGGAGGCCTTTCTCACGCCTTCGGAGGCATAAGACGTGATCCTGCCGGGCTGATGGTGCCGAACCCACTTGCTCCCGATGTGGGGGTGTAAGCCGGCCCTGACCGCAGATTCGGAGCCCACTAAGGCAGAGATGCAGGGACCAGTTTGCATTCAAGGCCTGGGTTCTGCGATGACAGATGACAGGGATCGAAATCCAACGATTGCCTGTTCGATATTTGCCTCAAAGTTCTGGATTCACATCGGGTAAGCGATATGTGGCCGAGCTGGTGAGTTGAAGCCCGTAAACCATAGTTATTGTACTATGAATCCAGTTGTTGATCATATAGTACCTTTGGAAGCGATAGCCTGGATCACGTCTCTTGCTCCTGTCCCTTGAGCGTACCACGGGGATCACACAGCGCCTCTTGAGCTTACCATATTGTACAACATTAACAACCATCTGCCGTCATTACCAAGGGGACTCTCTAGAAGGTTTCACCGACCATTGCGATCACATTATTCTGGGCACGTCAAGTTGCTTAGTTTGGCCTCAACAAACATGGCTTCCCAAGGGAACGAGCCCATCGCGATTGTCGGAAGCGGTTGCAGGTTTCCAGGAGGTGCCAACTCGCCTTCTAAGTTATGGGATCTGCTCCGGGAACCCCGCGACGTACTCTGCGAGATTCCGCCTAGTCGATTCGACGTTCGTGGATTTCATCACACGGATTCTCAGTTCCCTGGTCACACTAACGTCAAGCACTCCTACCTACTTCAAGAAGATGTCGCCAAGTTCGACGCCCAATTTTTCAATATTACAGCGCCAGAAGCAATAGCCATGGACCCTCAGCAGCGTCTCCTTCTGGAGACAGTTTACGAGGGTTTGGAGGGCGCTGGCTTGACAATCGAAGGCCTCAAGGGCTCCAACACCGGTGTATATGTCGGTGTTATGTACGTTGACTACGAATCTCTGCAATTTCGAGACTTGCAGCACGTCCCAACGTACCTTGCAATTGGTGAGAGCCGCAACCCTTGGCACGATGGAAACCCTTGCTAACCGCTCTAGGCACCGCTCGGAGTATTGTTTCCAACAGGATATCATACTTCTTTGACTGGCATGGACCCTCACTCACTGTCGACACTGCCTGTTCCTCCAGTCTGGTCGCAGTGCACCAAGCCGTTCAGGCTCTGCGATCCGGTGAGGTCCGTGTCGCATTAGCCGCCGGAAGTAATCTCCTCCTCGGTCCAGAGCCGTACATCCACGAGAGCAAGCTGAAAATGCTGTCTCCAGATGGCCGTTCTCGCATGTGGGACCAAGGTGCCAACGGCTATGCCCGCGGTGACGGCGTGGCTGCTGTTGTTCTCAAGACTCTTAGTGCCGCACTGGCTGACGGAGATCATATCGAAGCAATCATTCGTGAGACCGGTGTCAACCAAGATGGTCGCAGTCGCGGCATCACGATGCCCAGTGCAGCGGCGCAGGCGTCGCTAATCCGCGCTACCTACGCCAAGGCAGGACTCAACCCGGAGTCCGACACCGATCGGTGCCAATATTTCGAAGCTCACGGTACGGGGACACCAGCTGGTGACCCGGTCGAGGCCGAGGCCGTGCACACCGCTTTTTTTGGGAACAGAGATCCTGCCGCGGATCGCCTTCTCGTCGGTTCCATCAAGACTATCATCGGCCATACGGAGAGTACCGCCGGCATAGCCGGTATTCTCAAGGTTGTGCAAGCCATGAAGCACGGTTACGTTCCACCAAATATGCTGTTGGAGAATCTTAACCCGAACGTTTTGCCTTTCTACAGCAACTTGAAGATTCCCCAGGAACTTACTCCTTGGCCACAGCTTGCGCCGGGTCAAAGCCGGCGAGCCAGCGTGAACAGCTTCGGATTCGGCGGGACGAACGCTCACATCATTCTCGAGGGCTATGAGGCTTCAAGCTCTAATGGAGACAAGGACACCCAAAGTGTCGCTCCTTTCCTCTTCTCCGCTCAGTCAAAGCAATCGCTCCTGTCTAGTCTCGCCGCCCACGCCGAGTACTTGGAGCAACATCCCGACACTAGCCCTTCAGACCTTTCGTGGACATTGCGATCACGCCGCTCTCGTCTTCCCTTGCGACTGGCGCTACCAGCTTCAAGCATTGAGGTACTGCAGACCAACCTGAAGGGCATAATTGGCAACAGTAACTTCCAGTTGGACTCCAAAGCTGCCGGCACCAGCACTAAGGAAGCTCGCCTGTTGGGCGTGTTCACAGGCCAAGGCGCGCAGTGGGCTCGCATGGGTGCTGAGCTTGTTGAGACCTCCCAATACGCCGCCGACTTACTAGCCACCATGGACGATGCTTTGCTGCAGTTGCCCGAGGCGGACCGCCCGGCTTGGACTCTGGGAGAACAACTGCTTGCTGAAGCGAAGACGAGCCAGATTGGCAGTGCTTCAGTTGCGCAGCCTCTATGTACCGCGGTTCAAGTCATCCTTGTCGAACTCCTTCGTCAATGCGGTATCAACTTCGCTGCGGTTGTTGGTCACTCCTCTGGAGAGATTGCGGCAGCCTTTGCTGCTGGAGCCTTATCTGCCATTGACGCTATTCGCATCGCATACTACCGTGGCCTTCATTCCCGTATGGCTGAAGGTCCGGAGGGGATGCAAGGTGCTATGTTAGCGGTCGGAACAACTCTGGAGGACGCAGAATCTATCTGCAAAGATGACTACTTCTTGGGAAGAGTCAAGGTTGCCGCATGCAATTCTTCCTCCAGCATCACCATCTCAGGCGATGAAGACGCGATTGAAGAGATGATTGACATTTTCGAGGACGAGAGCAAGTTCGTTCGACGTCTGCGGGTGGACAAGGCTTACCACTCACATCACATGGTCCCTTGCTCGCAGCCGTATCTAGAGTCTATGAAGCCTTTCGCCATCGAGATGAAGCAATCTGACTCGAACTGCGCTTGGGTTTCCAGCGTCGACCCAAACCGGTCTCTGGACGCGTCAGGCAGTCTTGATGCCTCATACTGGGTTGACAACCTCCTGTCGCCAGTGCTCTTCATGCAAGCAGTCGAGAAGGCAATGCAACTTGGTCCCTTTGACGCCGCGATCGAAGTTGGTCCTCACCCTGCTCTCAAGGGTCCCGTTCTTGACACGCTCAAGGAACAAAAGGTGGAAATTCCGTACACAGGCCTTCTCCAGCGCAACACCAATGCAGTCCAGAGTGTCTCATCCGCAATCGGTTATGTGTGGACGCACGTTGACAATCTCATCATCGACTTTGATCGCTACGAATCTGCAGTTAACGGGCCGAAGCACCACTGCTTCATCTCTGACCTGCCAACGTATCAATGGAACCACTCTCAAGGATATTGGCATGAATCCAACCTATCAAGAAACCTGCGCACAAGAAGTCAACCCGTCCACCAGCTGTTGGGAGATTTGCAACCCCAAAGCTCAGCACACCAGGTCACATGGAAGGCAATCTTGCGCCCTCACGATCTCCCCTGGGTTCACCACCACAGAATCCAAGGCCAGACGGTCTTTCCCGCAGCTGCATACGCTGCCACGGCGTTTGAGACTATTCCCTTCCTTGCGGAAGACACCCCGGTTCAGCTCATGGAAATTAACGACTTAGTCATTCATCAGGCTTTGGTCTTCGGAAACGATGAGCAAGAGTCTGGCATCGAGGTTCGGTCCGTGGTCAGCAATATCATCCGCGACAACCCTGCCTCTATCAAAGCCACTTTTACGTATGAGGCATGCATCGGATCACACAAGGACTTCCAGCTTGTCGCAAGTTGCGAAATCTCAGTGTCATTGGGCGAGGCGTCTCGCGACACACTGCCCGCAACTGCCCGGATAGAGCCCTACATGGTTGACGTCGACACCGAGCTCGCGTACTCTTCACTCAACGATGTCGGCTATGGGTACACGGGTCCCTTCAAAGCTCTGTCTGGCTTAAAGAGGAAGCTTGGCAAGGCATCTGGTTCCCTCGCCTTGACAGCACCTGAGTCCAATGACGAGGTTCTTATCATCCACCCCGCGGTTTTGGACGCAGCCTTCCACTCCATCATCTTGACCTTCAGCTACCCTGAGGACGGCAGACTTTGGAGT